CTGAAAATGGGTACTGGAACAACTGTACATAAATACTCATAGCAACACTACTGATAATATTCAAAAGGTGGAACTAGCCCAATGTTCATCAAGAGATGAATGAATAAACAAAGTATGGTATACACACTCAATGGAATATTATTCAGCCACAAGAATGAATGAAGTACTGATTATGCTACAATGTGGATGCATCTTGAAAACATTATGCTGAGAGAAGCCAGAAACAAAAAGGTCACATATTGTATGGTTCTATTTATAGAAAATGTCCATAATAAGAAAATCCATAAAGACAGAAAGCAGACTGGTGGTTACCAGGGGCTGAGGGAAGGCGGAGGGTTAGGGAGTAACTGCTTAATGGGCACAGGGTTTTCCCTTGGAGAGATGAAATGTTTAGAGCAAGACAGAAGTGTTGGTTGCACAGTGCAAATGCACTAAATGCCACTAAGTTACTCACTTTATTTATTTATTTAAATTTTATCATTTTCACATTTACTCACATGTGTATACATTGTTTGGGCCACCCCTCTGCGCCACTTTAAAATCTTTAATTTTATGTCATATGAATTTCACCTCAATTTTTTAAAAAATGCAAAAATGTTCCCATTTGTCAAACATACACAATATAGGCTCTCATTCAATTTCTTATGCTTTTGAAATTGAAAAGAATACTTGGGTTCAAATCAATCACAACATTGGAAAAGGCACCGATCTAAACAATTTCTGCACTCCCGAGCTGAGAGCCATTGTTTTCCTAGACATGCAATCATCCTTAAGTACCTGGAGGGGACTGGCGTCCACCCCATTTTGTGAATACCAGATTCTGTGATTCTCCAGTTACTCATATAAAATGGCATAGTATTTGGATATAGCCTACACACATCTTTCTGAATACATAAAATCATTTATAAGTTAATTATAACACCTGCTACAATGTTAGTGCTAGGTAAACAGTTGTTATATTCTATTGCTTAGGGAATAATGGTAAGAAAAAAATCAGTATGTGGTCAGTACAGACACAATTCCCCTCCACTACATCTAATCTGATGTTGGGTAAATCCACAGATGCAGAATCCACAGATGCGGTGGAACCCACGGATGCTGCAGGCTAAGTGTAGTGTTAAGGTCTTCATTGGTGCCTACCTTTACTCTTTTCACATCCCACTTTACCTCTAAATACAGCAGTGTTAAACTGTTTGCAATTTCCTAAGATATTTCATCTCTTCATGCCATGTACACAATATTCTTTCAATCTAGAATAGAGGCTCTCAACCATGATTGCACATTAGAATCACTTCCAAAGCTTTTAAAGAATATGTAATATCTGGGCCCTGTCAAATGAATCAGAATCCCCGGGGAGGGGCCAGGAATCTGGGGTTCAAGAGCTCATTTTATAAAGTTCTGCAGATGACTGCAATGTGCAGCCAGGGTTGAGAATAACTTGCTTAGAATATTCTCTATCCCCTTTCCTTCAGCCTAGTGTGGTGTTTTCTACACTCCACTTATTCACACATCAGTCTTGGAAAGCAGTGTTTTTCTAGAAATTTAGCCATTTGAGTTGAAGGTCAACTTTATTAGTATAAGATTGTCCATAAGATTGTATCCTCTAATGTCTGCACATTTACTTGTAGTGTTGTTCATTTTTTCACTCCTCACATTTGTTATTTTGCCTTGTCTCTTCTGTTTCTAAATGAACTCTCTTAAGGGCTTATCTATAATCCAGTTATTTTAAGGAATAGAACTGATGCCTTTACTACTTTCTTCCCTACTGTATAGTTAGCCATTTAATTTCTACTCTTATTTTTATTATTTCCTTCCTTTTACTTTCCTAGGGCTTCACTAATTTCTTTAATTGCTTCAGATGGAGACTTAGATGATTTACTTTTATCTTTCCCCCCACCCCCCGCCGGTTACATGCACTAAGCACAGATTTAGTTGCACCTTACAAATGCTGATGTGTTATATTGTCATTATTATTCAGTTCAAATAATTTTCAATTTCCTTTATAGCTTCTTCTTTGACTTATAAGTTGTACAATTTATGTTACTTAGTCACTATACATTTAGGGATTTTATATTTGATTTCCAGTGAATTCTACTGTAGTCAGTGAACATATTCTAAATTATCTCAGAATTTTTTTGAGGCTCAGCATAACTAATCTTGGTAAATGTTCCATGTGCACATACTAGAGAAGAATGTGTATCCTGCAATCTTTTGGTGCAATATTTTTTATACATACTAAAGTCTAATTTATAATTGTACTGTTTGATTCTTTTAGATACTGATTATTCTTTTGCCTACTATTAGTCTTGTTCTAATAGCAAATAAAAGAAAATTTAAAGCCCTCTACCAATACATTAGCTTGTTGATCAGTGAATTTTTGTCTATATAGTTGAAGTTATATTTTTAGGTAGTGGTGGTTCAGATTTGAAATGTCCCCTGAAGGCTCATGTGTTGAAGGCTTAGTCCCCAGCTGTGGTATACTGAGAGATGAGTGGATCTAACTTTATCAGTGGATTAACACATATATGAGTTCAGTGCTGAATGGACTATTAGGAGGTGGGGCCTAGTGGGAGGAAGTAGGTCACTGAGTGTGGGCCTTTGAAGGCTGTACATTGATCATGCCCCCACCCCTTCTCTCTCTGCCTTCTGCCTGCTATGAGGTAAACCACTTTGGTACACTATATGCTTCCCACCATGATGTTCTGCCTTACTGTGGCTATGACTAGAAGCAATGGAGTCAAGCAACAATGAACTGAAACATTTGAAATTGTGAGCCAAAATAAATCTTTCCTCCTCGAGTTTATTTTTTCACAGTGCCTGAAAGATGACTACTATCACAGGTAGATTTATATATCTATTTGGAATTGACTATGCTATCATAAAATGTCCCACTTTATTTAAATTTTATTTAATTTTTTTCCCTTTATTGTTGTGCTGGGTAGGGATACATTGTGGCATTCACACAGGTTCTTACAATATATCAAATATATCATACATGATTGCCAGATATTAGTATAGCTATTAGTTCTCCTTTGGAAATGTATATAATGTCTATAAATTTTTGCTTTCAATATTTCCATGTTATCATATTTTAAGTGTCTCTTGAAAGCAAGATAAGGTTTTTGTCCACTATGATTACCTTTATTTTTAAGAATACCAGTAACATTTACATTTAATGTTATTATAGGATAAGTTTGGATTCATATCTACAAAAATACTTTTTGGTTTTGGTTTATCCTAATAAATGTTCATATTTTTTCTTTTCTTATATATTTTGGATGAATAAAGTATTTTTTCCAATTTATCTCTTCTATTAAATTTTGCTTGTACAAAATAACTCTTTTAATGATGAGATTACAAAAAGCAGCCTTGATTTATTAGAATTTAATATAAATCTCACTTTCCAGATAAAGTCAGGAACTTAAGAGTGCTTTAACTTCATTTGCCCCTTCTCACCTTTTGTCTTTGAATCATGCATTATAATCTACATGCATATATGTATGTGCATCTTCTATTTAATGAGACATTACTATTTGTTTCCTAGGCAAAATTAATATTCCCATTTGCCCTTTCTAGTACTCTTTGTTTCTTCCTGCATTTCTGTTTCTGTGAGAAATTACATTTTATTACTTCAATTTAAAAAATTTTACTTATTTGTTTTAAGACAGGATCTCACTATGTAGCCCAGGCTGGCCTCAAACTTGCAATTCTCTGGTCTCAGCCTCCCTACACCATCTTGCCTGGCTTATAGATTATTTTTACTCTGCCTTTAGAATCTTCTTTATTGTAGGTCTGCTAGGATAAATTTTATGGTTTTGATGATCTGAAATGTCTTTATCATGCCCTTCCTTTTGAAGAACATTTTCACTGGTTAGAGAATTAAAAGCTGGCAGTTATTTTCTTTCAGTATGTTGAGAGGTCTGTAGTTAAATATGAAAAATTCTCAGTCATGAGCTCTTGAAATATTGTTTACCTCATGCTCTTTCTACCTTTTCTGTGACTACAATTATGTACTTATTAGACATTTATCTGTGTCAAATATATATAAAAATTTTCTGTATGTTCTATCCCTTTTGTTCTTTGTACTTTGGTCAAGATACAGATGCTCCTTAACTTTCAATGGGATTATGCCCTAATAAATCCATCATAAATTGAATATATTTTAAGTCAAACATGCATTTAATATACCTAAACTACTGAACATCTTAGCTTAGCAACACAGTGCACTGTAGAGTACCAGTTATTTGCCCTTGTGATCTCATGGCTGACTGGGATGAGATAGCTCACAACCCCTGCCCAGCATCATACAAGTGAGTATCATACTGTGTATTGCTAGCCTGGGAAGACATTAAAATTCAAAATTCTAAGCATGGTTTCCTATGGAATGTGTATCGCTTTTGCACCATTGTAAAGTTGAAAAATGGTAAGTCAAACTATCGTAAGTCAGGGACTGTCTGTATTTTCTACTGACCTATCTTTCAGTTCATAATCTACTTTTCAGTTATGTTCAATCTGCTGCTAGGACTTTTATCCTTTTCTGGCTACCTCTCTGACAAATCTTTTAACCATTTCACTTGTTGAATGGCAGGCAACAGGTATTACATGAATATTTGGAAAGCCCATGATGTTTGTCCTCACAAAAGTAAAAGGAAAGTAAACTAAATTTAAGAGTCACTTTTGCTAACATCAGCCAATTTTGTAAGTGCAGGAGATGTACCACTAAAATCTAATTGTGTAACTATATTTTGTTTGAAAGAAATGGTACGCTTTGGGCTGGGGCATGGCTCAAGTGGTAAAGTGCCTGCCACAAACAATTGGCCCTGAGTTCAAACCCCGGTACTGATTAAAAAAAAAGAAAGGAAAAGAAAAGAAATGGTACACTTTACAGAGGTTACTTAAAAGCTGTCACAATTTATGACACTTTTTAAAAAATATATACCCTGTATTCATCCATATTTCATACTAGCTTGATGTTAAAAACATAAAAAATTGACACTTACTCTCTTTCCTTTTCAGTCAGCTTGTCATTGATATTATCTTTGATTGTTGATCTAGACCCCTTATGAATTATAGGGTATCTGAGGGGCACGTGTAGGAAAAAGGAAATCATGGAGACCAAATGTGCAGTGTAACCAAGGGCAACAGCAATGCTTCCATCATCTTTTGCTGTAAATTCAAAAGCAGAGGAAAAGAAAACCATTTACCTTATAAATGTAGCTATACAATAACAAAAAATCAATTTCAAAGGTGATCTTATAAAAATAAGTGGTAAATAAAATGTTAATCACTTATCTAAATTATATGAATTTTAAGCAAATCTAAACACATTAATGAGACTAGAAATTTCATCTACTAACTGTATTTAAAACTATTTACCAATGATTAGTATAATGGGATTGACATTTGATATATACCTAAAGCAAGAGTCTTAATTGTATCCAAACATCCATTACTTTCTTTATCAGAATTTTTAAAAGGGGAATTAATAGCTGAGTCTATTACATGATGTAAAAATTACTCAGAGGTTTAAGTATAACATACTTTGTAATCTTTATATATTTTAAATAATAATACATCTTTGTTGGGTATGCTGATATTGATAAAGACAGTGTTGCATAACTAAGTCTATGAAGTTTGAGATGGAACAAGGAAGGAAACATTTTAAACAGAAATGCAAAAGGTCAAAAACCACAATTTAGGCAATTTAGGTAGAGGTAATTATGGGGGAAAATGCATATGTCACACAGTCAAACATAAGCATGTAGCCTTTAAAAAGCCATAGATAATTATATTTTAAAACTCATCATCCAGATTTCTTCCTCACCTATGAAGTGATAAATGATCATTCAGGTATATTAATTTCTACTGAGAATAATGCAACGAAGTTTTAAACTTTCACCAGAAGGAAGTTAAAAATAACTGGTTGCCGTATAGTATTCCAAAAATACCTTAAAAAGTGCACATGCACACAAATGCAAGCACAAACTCACACTAAAAGATTTAATACATGATCTGAAATACAGCAGCTCACAAGAGAAAGGCTGAAACTGACTGGACCACAGCTTGACTATTTTCTGACTTCTAAGAGTACCTTCAACTTCAAGTACTAATAGTATTTTCACATTCTTCTTTTGTGCTTATAATTAATTATCTAAGCACTACCTTCATACTGTAAGAATGCCACTATAGCCATCTATTCCTCAGTGAATTCTCTACCCTGAATACCTAAAAGACTCCTGGTTTCTCTTCAATCACCTTATTAAAACACAAATAACTGTTATTATTATATAGTCTTCTTCTGGGAACTGTTTGTAGCTTTTTATATCTGATATTCATTCACCAACAATTTCTAAACTGACCTCCTATTTAATTTACTTTACAGATAAAATAAGGCTCAAAAGGAATTAAGAACTTGTCTAAAATAATAGAGCCTGACACCAAATCCTCCATCCTTAACCACTCTACCATAAAGTCTTAGAATTTCAGCATTAGAAAATTAATATACAATAATCTTTAAAACTTCCTAGCCTAGAATATAGCAAGCATGACACACGTACCACCTCAATTTCTTTATACTTTTCTAGCAAGGGCAAAGAACAAAAAAAAAGTCTGTGAGTCCCTGATGACTTGTATAGTGCTTGAAAAAAAAAAAAAAAAAAGGGCTTCTCAGCCAATGGTTGCCATTATCTCAAAACAAACTCTTGTAAAAATTAAGCATTCATTTCAACTGACTACTGAGTCATGCCCTCACTAATTCCTAATTATTTTTAGAGATCATGTCCCCCTGCTCCATCCCACCCAAACAACCTTGATAACAACTATCACACTTTCCTTCTGTTGAAACCTGTATATCACACTACCTTAGAGACTAAAAGTACTTTACATTATAAATTCAGTGTCATATGATATTAGAGCTAGTAGGAGCCTTAGAAATCATTGAGTCTGACACTATCAACTTATTGATGAGAACAAAGAGGTCCCAGTGGTATGGCTTGGTCAAACTCATACAGGAAAAAACTGTGAGTGACAAATGGGAAAATAATGTCCACACCTCAAAATATCAACCTAAATATATAGGTCTAGAGCCATAGCTGGGGCTGTAAGTTCCTTCAGAGGTTGGTGAATCAAGTGCTTCCTACTTTCTGTGAAGAACAGGGTTTACCCAATTAAAAATATTCTTCTGAGCAAAAGGACTTGGTCTCTAAGAACCTTCTTTGAAGGGAGAGAGGAAGGGGCAGAGGAATAAAGAAGATAATAAAGAAGAAGAATACTATGCAAAGTTGGAACTTTCTCTATGTGCTTTACACTAAGCTTTTCTCTTTCCTATACAACCCTAAAGAAAAGGATCTGAAATCGTTAAGAAAGCAGCAAAAGGCCTCTTTATTAGCCTTCCAAACAGACCAAATGCAAATGCAAACTATGACTGTTTAAAATGATCTATTCACTACCAAAACCTTGAACATCTATATTTTTTTCTCATATTGCTACAAGAATAATCCTAAAGAATTGCATTTGCATATTTTGAGACTATATACACATTTTTTTTAAAGAACAAAGAATTGGTCTTCTAAAATCACCTATCCTTAGTGAACAAAACAATTTTGCTTAAATTTAAAGATTAAAAAGCATCTTTAAAAGAGAAGCCTACATATAGAAATCAAAAATCAAAAGGAAATAGCAAACAATGAAAATTAAATAATACTGGAAATCAGCTTTGATTCAGGTTATTCACACTCACCATTGTTGCCACAAGACTGCTCATTCCAACTATTAAATACCCTAGGTTGTTTCCCATTCCAGGCCACAGCGCTCCATCATAGCCTCACAGTTAAACACTGTGGTGTTGGATTTCCAATATTGAAGCTTTATATTAAAAAGCATTTTAAAAGGACCATGGGTGAAGCATTACAGGGCTCAGGGGTATTCCAATATCCTCAAAAGGAAAACCACCTCCTGGTAGGGAAGTCACTTTCATCACCCCAAGACCACTGAACTTCCAGTGGGAAAATGTGAGCTCATGTGGTTAATTATGGCTATTGCAGGCCATGCAACCTCAGATGTCACTTTCTGTTGCCAATCACTTTAGCTAAAAAAACCAAAAGGTTTAAGGTTTCCAGCATTCCAAGATCTGAAAGACTTTTTACCTGCCAAAGCCAAAACACAGCTCTCTGGGGTGTGCTTTTCCAGTAAGCATTAACGACGTCCGTAACACCTAATGCAGAGCAGAGGTTTGGGTTTCTTATGCTGCTCTGAGGGTTAGAAAGGTCACAGATGATAGTTTTGTTGGTGAGAAGTCAGAAGGGATGTGGGGGACCCAGGGAGAAAAAAGAATGAACTGTAAGGTCCAGGTACGTGAAAAAGATACTAATTCAAACAATGTTTTAAAGGGCTTGAAAGTAAAATAAAAGCCTGGAGTTTCCTCATAATAAATATGTTTTTTAAATGTAGGAAGCCATTCAAGGCTTTTAGCTTTTGTGTAACTTTTATGACAATAAATTCTATAAACATATAATGGGCATGAAACATGATCAATTCAAATGTTCCTTTGATTTATACGTTGGACAAACTATTAATATTCAAGTGCATCCAAGTACAATAAGTGATCTAAAAGCTCTTACCATCCTGCCTTCCCAATCACTGAGGCAGCTGATTTGTTAAGGAACCAAGCACTCACTGATCCAGACAGGACAAAATATTTAAGACTCTAATCACTGCCACAGCATCTATGGAATCATTCCATGTTCTCAATGAGACACTGTTTGACATATGGACTCTCCTTTCCAAGAAATCATGCCTGCATAAAGGGATACAGACACAGAAGGAAATCTGGGTCTCATTACCACAAAAGGTTCTTGTGTTTTGGATTACTTAAAAACACACACACACAAACTTTTTTTTTTTTTTTTTTTTAAAGCTAAATGTCTCAGTCAACAGAATTCAGATGAATACCCCACAACAGACAATTTTCTCTCATCGTGTTCAGGTCTCTTTGGCATACTCTAACAGTAACTTACCCATTCAGAAAAGCACAATAAATGTTGGGCCCCATGGTAGAGTTCCCCTACCGCCCCCATGGTATCAACCCATGCAGTGTAAAGCCTACCCAGCAAAGTCTCAGGAATACCATGGAAAGACCAGGAGCTCCTTCACTAGAACTGCCCAGAATGCAAATGCTACAGGACACTAAAACATTGTCAGATGCTTCTAGGACAGGATTATTCAAAGCAAGGAAGAAATTATATCATGACAGGAATAATATGGTCCTTAGGATCAGGCAGACCCATGATAACCTTAGCTTCAGCACTGGCTAATGAGTCCTTGAAAAAAATTAACTAATCTGAGTCTCAGTTTTCTTACTTAAAAAAAACAAAAACCAAAAACCAAAAACCAAAGGCAATTCCTTCTTCACAGAGGGAATTATTTCTCACAGTTGTGAGAATTAAAGTAATAAATCTGATAGCATCATTCATGTTGCTGTTTTTCTACTCATCCAACCTAACTACCTACCTACTCTTTTCACAACAGGGAACACTAGTTATCTTTTAAGACAGCTCAAGCATCATCTGCTTCTCTATAAAGGTTTTCCTAATCCCTTCCCTATAAAACTAATTCTTTGTGTCCCACATACCTGGTATAAACTTTTACAGGCCTGACACAGACTATAGATTCAATTAATATTTCACAACCAGCATGATTATAAATATTATGCCCTCAACATGACTATGATCTTGAGGCTGGATCAATACCTCAATCCTCTTTGTATAATTCTCAGCATCAGGCAACAAACACAGCATCGGTAACAAACACAGGGTATTCAACACATTTACTATGTGGAAGTACCTTGCAGAATGCTAACATAAAATTTTAAAATCCAATACTACCATATACGTTTTCTTAAAATTTCTGATTTCTAAGGGTTTGGGGAAATGAATAAAATTAAACATTTATTTTAGCTCACATTTAATCTTTCAGCAACTGCACTAAATGGTTACACTAATTGTTTGAAGGGTGGGGAGAATGTTTTCTAAGTGTAGATAGCTATAAAAGCTATGGAAAAACTAGGATACAAGGCACTTCTAAGAAAACAAAAATAGAATTGAGAAACCTCCCTGAGCGGATTAAAGTAACAGACCACAACTAACGCCATTCCTGCTTCCCCCTTCTTGCTCCCTTCAAATCATGCTGTATTTAGCAGCTAGAGTGTTAACAGCATAGCTCAGCTCATGCTGTGCCCCTTCTTAAGCCCTCAGGCATTGCCCACTTCACTGAGAATAAAACAGAAACTCCTTCCAGTGGCCTCAAGGCCCTGGCTGACCTCTCTTCCTTCTCTAACGTAAATCTTTCTATACTCCCTATGCTCCAGCCACACCGGCCTTCCTTCTCTTCCTTTTCTTACTTTTATTCTCTCTCCTTCCAGTCCTCTCTCCCTCCTTTGTAATTAATTCCAATTATACTTATTAAGCACCTCCTACATGAAAGGCTCCTCCATTCAATCATCACAATGTATTAGAGATAAAAATACTTATCTCATTATACAGGTAAACAAATTAAGCTAAGAGTACATGACATGTGTAAAATACAACCTTTTTTTCCCTACCATATCCCAGCCCATGCCTCCTCCAATATGACCTTTGTACTTACTGCCCTCTGTCCTGGGAATATTCTTCTCCTAGTGCTAGTATAATTAGCTCTTTTAGCATTCACATTTTCTATTAATGTTTCTCTAGGGAGGTCTCCTCAGGTTGCTTTACCTAAAGCAGGTTCCCTCATTCTCTATGACAGCATATTGCTTTATTAAGTATTGCTAATTACTTATTTTCCTGCTTACTGGCTGTTTCCTTTAATAAGCTGTGTGCTTCATGAAAGGAGAGCACATTTGTTTTTCATCATTAATCCTCAAGCCCTAGCACAGTGCCTGGCATGCAGGTGCTCAATACATTTCTTTTAATGAATGAATGAGTAAAACAATGCACCAGGAGCTTCAAGACACCACAACGCTGCCTGAAATGACACCAAAGCACATGTTTGTGACTATAGAGGTCTGAGGGAGTTCTGTACAATGGCAACCAGACAAATCCCAGCTATGTCACTACCTGGCTTTGTAGTCTCAAGCAAGTTACTGAATAGCACTTTTCTCATGGTCTCCCAGGCAAAATCTCATGCTTTTACAGGTAGTGATGTATCTTACTTATTCTTACAACAATCAGGTAAGACAGGTAGGGCATTATATGTCCACATTACTGATTAGGAAATCAACTCAAAGGTTGCAAGACTTGCTCTAAACTACATGGTTTGTAGAAGGGAACCAGGACTTGAATAGAGATTTTCAAACTCCTGGTTTGTTACCTGCCTTATATCATGTCCCAACAATTGAGTTGTTTCAAGGGCAGAAGGGAATAATTAATTAAAATAATCTTAAAGGTTTAAGGACCGCCAATAGCAATAGCTTCTTTATAGAGAAATGGAAGAGTCTAATCAAAACTAGTAATACTCTCTTCTTGAATAACTTCTTCCCACAGAGATAACATACATGCTGCTTTTGGAAATAATATATTATTTAATTTAGAAGGCCTCAAAGCATTGTTTAGACTAAGGGAAAATAATCTACTTTGCTAACAACAAAAATAATCTATTTTCTTTGGCATATGTGTAAAGAAATCAGGAAAAAGATTTTAAAATACAAAAACTATTATGAATCATAGTCTACAATATCTTTAGTGGAACAGAGGAGAGAAATGATAGTTCAACAAATTAAGTCTATGGTAGTGAAAATGCCACAAAATTAACTTCTCAAGTATTTTTCAGGTTAGCAGGGATATGACTTTGTAAATAATAGATTAATGTTTGCTATTCCTCTGCTCCCAATTAGACACAAGTTATTTATTTATTTTTAATGAAAAACAACTCCAAATGATAGGAAGATTATCAGTATTCTTAAGAGCCCCCATTCTTAAATTTGTTTAAAGCCCATTAAAAATGATTGTCTTTTAAGTTTCAAATAAAAGATTCAATAATTACTTTCCCACGCTTAAGCAAAATATTTTGTTACATGTTCTGTTAGGGAATTTGCCCCTACATATTTCCAATGAGAAGGGACAAAGTGCTGGGCATCCAACATTTTGAGCTAACTCTATTCCTATACATTATATATACCAGATCTATAGAAGTAAACAGGAAATAAAATACCTTGGAAGTCCTCAGAATTAGGCAACCTCACACCACATACAAAGTAGTCCTTATGCTCATTCTGTGAAATTAACCAAAGAATGAAATTAATTTTTCATATATAAAGCAAAGGAATTTTAAGCCAAATCGCTAAGAATTCAGTAGGTCCATACTAATTCAAAGATAATGTTGTCTTAAACTCAAAAATACCATCATAACTGTTGAAGATGAATGACGAGTACATGACGATTAATTACACTGTCTTTTTGCATTTATATATGCTTGAAATCATGTGTAATAAAAGCATTTAAAACATGTCTGAGGCTAAGGGCATGGCTCAAATGGTAGAGTACCTGCTCAGCAGGCATGAGGCCTTGAGTTCAAGCCTCAGTACAACAAAACAAAACAAAACAAATGCAAATCATGTCCAAGGAAAATGCCATGTAACTTTTATCATCATAAAAAGATCGAGTTATAATATGTGTCATGGAAATGTCACAAGGAAACTCCCTGTATAGCTATCTTAAACAAAAATGTTATTTTTTAAAAAATGAAATTGGAGAACAGGAGGGCAGAATAGGTCCTGTCTGGGGGATTGGTATCAGTGGGAGGGGAGAAGATGTGGAGAAAGGGTATAGGAGGGTGAATATATGCAAAATACTGTGTATGCATGTATGTAAAAGGAAAAATGAGACCTGTTGAAACTATTTCAGGAATGGAGGAATGGGTGGAGAGAGGGATAAAAGAGAATGATGGAGGAGATGAATTCAACTATGATATATTTGATATATTGTAAGAACTTTTGTAAATGCCACAATGTACCCCTAGCAAATAATAAGTAAAATCTATTCTCTTAGCAAATAAATGAATAAATAAATAAAATGATTTAAGCCCCTCCCCAACTATCTTGTAGCAGATTCATACCCATAAATGATTTAACAACATTCTGTGAGCAAACTCAAATTCCGTTGACTTTCTTATCTGAAAATTAGTCTTTTAAGTAGATTCTCACTAAAAAGAATATTATCAAATTTGGTTTTCTTTTCTTTTTTTTTGGTGGTACTGGGGATTGAACCCAGGGTCTCTGCAAGCACTCTACCACTTAAGTACTCAGCCCTGCTTTTTAGTTTGTTTTGCAGATAGTGCCTTGTGCTTTTGCCCAGGTCAGCCTCAGACCATGATCCTACTCTTTCTACCTCCCAAGTAGCTGGGAGCACGTACAATCATGTACCACCATGCCCCAAATTTCATTTTGTAAGGAAGAACACTAATCAGTTTACTGAAGTATTACTTTTTTGTATTAATTCTAAGAAACTAGGTTCAAAATGTAACATCCTGAAAATTACTCCAGCAATATCTTAATAAACATCAATAAATACAGACTAATTAACAGTTATGTTTTTAAAGCAGAAACATGCATATGCAGGTATGTGTCAGAAATGGTACTAGCAGACAATCTGATTGAGTAAAAAGATTCTAAAGAAACCAGAATTAGCCAGGCACTGGTGGCTCTTGTCTATAATCCTAGTTACTTTGGAGGCTGAAATCATGAGGATCACAGTTTGAGGACAACCTGGCAGATAGTTTGTGAGACTCTCATCTCCAAAATAACCAGAGCAAAATGGACTGAAAGCATAGCTCAAGTAGTAGAGCAACTACTTTGCAAGGGTGAAGCCCTGAGTTCAAACCATAGTCCCAACCAAGAAAAAAGGAACAAGAAATAATTTGTCATTCTTTCTGATGATGAGAAACCCCACTACCCAATCGATTTAAAAAGATAAATCAAACTGTGGAACCTAAGTGCAACTAAGTCTTAATCTACTTTTCAAATAGATATTAGCTCCTGAATCATAAAAGAGCATACAATTAACATTAGAGAAATGAGGTTTTCACTAGAGGAAATTTCAAATGGAAATCATCATTTCAAAAAGAAAAATCTTTTCAGAAAATTGAAACTTACCAAATCAATTGGGTAAATGTAGGATAGCTCAGAGAGTAACTGCCTGCAGCGAATTGTCAACTGAGCATTGGTCTTCAGAAAGAGTTCTCTAACGAGGAAAAAAAAAAGGACACTCATTAAAAGATATACTTGCATGCTTTCTAACACTTATTTCCATTTTTAATGCAAAGGAATATTAAGTGGTCTGTAGAAGTCCACAAAATTTCAGAAGTAGAGGCAAGAATAATAGCTACCATGAGTCCTGACCTCCTGCTGAATCCTGTCAGTAAGGTTAATACATACTGAGGGCTGATGCGTGCCAGCACCATGCTAAGAGGTGTATAGGTATAAACAACCATTCACTCATCACCTCCTGCCACACAGCAAGAGCATTACAAATGGCTTTGTTCAGTCATTACAACTCTAGTAGGCTGATATTATTATATCCATTTATAAACAAGAAAACAAGATTTAGAGACACCTAGTAACCAGGCAAGGTTTAACAGTCATTATTTAATGAGGCCAAGTTGATTTCAGGAAGGATACTTATTTTATTTTCTTAAAAAATATTCTTTCACTTACAACTACATGTTATAGCTACCTCAAAAACAAAACAAAACAAAAAAAACCAAAAAAACCCAACCTGTTGCAATACTAGAAAAAAATACTAAAGGAAAAAGAACAAATAAAGCTATAACATATGATGATTAAGCTCTTATCTACTTAAGAAATGTGACCAACTTAAAACACCCATAGAATAAATTTCCTGCTCAACCGTGTTAGTGATTTAAGAACAAAATGATATAAAAGACATTATAGGTCAAAGTGAAATGCAAAAGCTAGAGAATAATGGAGTGTGTACATTGTTAACACTAAGATTGGAACTCCAGGTTCAAATTGCAGAGCACCTAAAACTCCTTAGAATTTCCTGAATGATAGGAGTATTTTTTAATATTCATAACAATCTCCATTTGATCACACTTGAGTTTATGCAAATGAGGTGAGTTAATGTGGGACCTCTAGACAAAGGATAAGCTGGTCAAGAAAGCCCAAGTAATGAGAAAATTAGAATTTTTCAGCCCCACCCACCAACCTCTAAGAAGAGGGTGGAAGGGCTGTGATGAAACCCAAGTGCTACAAACACTCTCAAACAACAAAACTGGAAGAGCTTCCAACTGTGAAGGTGTCTAGAGAGAGTGGGAATTCCATGACCCCTCCCTCACACCTCGCCCTGTATACCTCTTCCATTTGACTGTTTATTTGTATCCTTGGTACCATCCCCTACAATAAATCAGAAAAGGTCAGTGTTTCCCAAGTTCTGCAAGCCACTCCTGTAAATTACAAACTAACTGAACCTGAGGAGATGTTTGTGGGAAGCACAATTTACAGCAGGTCAGTTAGAGGCACAGGTCACAACCAGGGGCTTGTGACTGGTAACCTACTTAGGAGAAGAGAACCATCTTGCAGGACTGAGTATAGGTAGATATATCTCCTGGTGGACAGTGTCAGAATTGAATGAAGTTATAGTATACTCAACTGTTGTTTGCTGGAGAGTCTGGTGTTAAAAGTGCTGTGTGTAAAAGTAGGAAAGGCACTGATTTCTCATATCTAAACAGCACTGGAGATTTAATGGCTCTAGTTCTAGCTTTGATAGTGACCTGAAAAAAACAGAAATTTGCTTTCCTATCTGCAAATTGAGAGGATTAGAATAGATGATCTCTATGGTCTAATATACTTAAGCCCTTAATTACTAAGACTTCTTAAAGAAAAATGCTGGATGGCAGGATTTTCCAGGAAAGTGAGTGAAAATTAGCAAAAGAATAGAGGTGGCAATGAATTAAAGAAGTAGTGGGAAAAATAAAGAGAAACTAGTAGCATGATTGTATGTTGGGGAGAAACTACAATTAACTACTGTTGTATGATAACAATTTATTGAAGGCTATTTAAAAATTAAGCAAAAGAATCACCATAACAAGAATGTAAGGTAAGAATGATTTTTTTTACGAGGAAAGGACTGATGGCACTATGAAAGATGAACTGGAAGTTTGGAGAGACTGAGTTTAAAGAGATTTTTCTAGGTGCTGTTGAGGTCATCCAAATGAACCATCAAAACATAGGAGTAAGGGGCTGGGGGCATGGCTCAAGTGGTAGAGCAAGTACAAGGCCCTGAGTTCAACCCCTGGTACTGACAAAAAGAAAAGAAGAAATGGGAAAGTAAGTCTAAATAAATTTTTGGAGTAAAAAAGTGTAAGCTAAACTGCACATAAAGACAGGAAGAGAAGTTCAAATATTAAGCTACGGTGCTATGGCCTGGGAAACTAGAAGAAGAGTGCTGTTTTTGTTTATGATGACATAGGGTAGGAGCTTTTGTAATTGGCCTCTAGCACAGTGCATGACACACACTAGATATTATTAAAAAACCTGTTGGATAAATGAATGGGGTCTTGATGCACAGAATGTAAATAATATTAGCTTTTTCTCTTTTTTAAGTTATATTATTATTGTTACTGGGAGTACACAGTGACATTTACAAAAGTTCTCACAACATATCAGAGTTGAATTCACCCCCTCCATCATTCTCCCCTCCCCCATTCTGGGAATAGTTTCAACAGGTCTCATTTTCCCATTTTCATACATGAGTACATAATATTTCCATTACAATCACCCTCCTAACACTCTTGTATCTTCCCCCTCACTGGTACCAACCCCTAGACAGGACCTGTTTTACCTTCTGTTCTCCAATGTGAGATACACACACACACACACACATACACACACACACACACACACATCCATACAATGGAGTTTTAATCAACCATAAGAAAGAATGAAACCACGTGGTGTGAAGGAAGTGGATGCAATTGAGGGACATTATGTTAAGGGAAGTAAGCCAGGCTCAGAAAGACAAAGGTCACATATTTTCTCTCATATGTGGGAGATAGACACATACAAATAATACCAGCATTTTAAAGAATGCCACTTTTCCAAATCCACCCATGCAGTAAACTCAAACTCACACAATCATCTTCAGTGTTGCATTTACCTTTTTGCAGTGCACTCTTTCCTCAGTTCACTTAGGGATTCCTTCTGGAGTTGAAGTTTGCTGTGCTCAGTTGAAAATGCACTGCCTAGAAACGAAGATAGAGGGAGATAATTTTAGATGCAATACTGCAGACAGAACTGCTCAATCACACCCACACAGCCAGAGCCCATGTCTATAAGAGGGAAATAAAATGTTGGAAGGCTGTATCATGTATAGTGGTTGCTAGAGGAATTAACCAGAGCAAAACTTCCTATTGGTTCAATTTGCACACAAGCCAGTTCCTGGCAGTACCCAAAGAGCAGGAGCCTAAAACTCTCTGCCCATGGATTTCTGCACTGCTGACCAAGAAACCTTGATGAGATCTCAGATTCAGATTTCCCTTTACAAAGGAAGTTTATATATATTTTCAACCACAAATATTATATGACAACATTACTGAAAAAATGAAACGTAGAGCAGGAAAAATTGCCTGCATTTTTATTCCTATAATATAGTCTATCCATACAAGTCGTTTTTATGACTTCCATCTTACTCATAAATAAAAGTAGTTCTAGTGAAAATCACAGGGTACAGGAAATGTGTACTCTGATTTTTCCATATTATGTCACAGCATTCTTACATGTTGACCGTCTGAAGTTATGGCTATATAGAATTTAACCCCATAGATATGAATTAAAGGACTATTCCTCATTTTACCTGATAGCCTTATACCCTGATCCCATTAAAGAACATATAATTTCCTTTAAGTGTTTGCTTTAGCATTCTGGTGATTAATAGTTGTTTATATGCCTGAGTTTTGTGTTTATAGCAACTTTTGAAATCTCAATTTTGTGATCATAAGATCCTTTTACATCTTCCTATTCTGAGAAAATTACATTCTTGATAATCCTCATTATAACTCCAGAGGTCCTCAAACACAGAGAGACAATCCTAGATCCTGACACACTAAGTTTATATTTTTGCAAAGTAGTTTAGTTTCAGGAACTGTGTCCCAATAAGAAAAAGTGCCCTAAACGCCTCTGTATACCTTCTACTCCTACATGGAAAAACAGAAAGTAGGTTTATTTGACCAAAATACAGTTTGGATCAGAGCACAATATCAACCACCTACACAGTTTTTATCTTGCAAAGTTAGGGATCAAGTGCTCTACCACTGAACCACCAACACATTCCTAAGCACCCTTCTCTTCTCTCTGAAGAGCACTTTAAATATCACTATGTGGAAAATGCTGCTCCAAAAACAGAACTTAATCAAGGAACACCCACCACTTACATTCTTTAGGCCCTAATATAATCCCTCCCCAAATTTTAATGATTTTATAAGACAATAAGGCTGATGATACTCACTACCCCGTGTATACTGTACACAGTCATTATGGTGCTCAAGTAGTCCCAGAATCAGCCACTGCGACTCTCGGTTTTTGTTTTTTTTTTTTTGAACTGGGGTTTTGAACTCCTCAGGGCCTCACACTTGCTAGGCAGGTGCTCTACCACTTAAGCCATTCCACCAGCCCTCTTTTGGTTGGGTCTCACAAACTATTTGTCTGGGCTGACTCTGAATCACAATCCTCCTGAGCTCTGCCACCTGACCACATAGATTATAAGCGTGAGCCAACCAGAGCTCTGCATCTGGGACTCTCTTCAATCTGGCCCCAGTGTCCTTGTGACATGCTACAATCACCTTATTTGAAATACTACCTTGTCATTTTCAGTTCTGTAGGGTATGTAGTGATGTCCCCTATTATTCCTGATATTGGTAACTTGTACTTTCTCCATTTTTACTTGATCAGCCTGGCTACCAGCGTACCAATTTTAGTGATCTTTTCAGATAACTATCTTTTGGGTTCACGATTTCTTTTACTCTTTTTATGTTTTTTGTTTCACTGATTTCTGCTCTTTATTATTTCCTTCCTTCTGCATGGATTGGGATTAATTTCTTCTTTTTCTGTTAAGGCACAAGCTTAGATTATTGACAGCATATCTTCCATTTTTTCTAATGTTAGTGTGAAATGCTATAAATTTCCCCCTAAACTTGCATTCCTTCAAATGTTTACACTATAGTTTCATATAGATCAAAATATTTCTAATTTGCCTTGTTGTTTCTTCTTTGACCCATTGCTTCTTACATGTGTGTTATACAATTTCCAAATATTTAGAATTTCTAGCTATCTCTAGTGGTTTCTAGTTTATTTCTGTTTTGGTAAGAGAACATACTTTAAAATTTTTGATTTGTGTTTGTTTGTTTTATGGTACTAAGTATGGTCTAACTGAATGTTCCACATATACTTGGAAAAAAAGTATATTTTGCTAGTGTTCAAAGGAGTGGTGTAATGTCAAGTAAGTTGATGTTGTTAAGATTTTTAAATTTTTTTTTTTTGCAGTACTGGGGCTTGAACTCAGGGCCTACACCTTGAGCCATGCCACCAGCCCTTTTTTGTGTTAGCTTTTTTTGGGATAGGGTCTCACAAACTATTTGCCTGGGCTGGTTTTGAATGGTGATTCTCCTGATCTCTGCCTCTTGAGTTGCTAGGATTACAAGCGTGAGCCACTGGCGCCCAGAGATCTTTAATTTTTTAATTTTTAATTTTTTGACAGTACTGAGGCTTGAACTTAGGGCCTCCTGAGCCATGCCTCCAGCCCTTTTCATGTTAGTTATTTTTTCAGATGCGGTGATCTAATGGTTTTGCCTGGGGCTATCTTCAGATCATGATCCTCCTACCTATACCTGCTGCATAGCTTGGACTACAGTGTGCACTACCACACTGGCTTGTTTACTGAGATGGGGTCTCATTAAGTTTTGCTTAGGCTTGCCTCAAACTACGATACCTCAGATCTCTGTTTTCAGAGTAGCTGGAATTATGGCATATACCATCATGCTTGGAAAGCTTTTATTCTTACTGATTTTCTCTCTCTGCTTTTCTATCAATTGCTGAGAAATGAATGTGGCACTTTCCAACTGTGATTGTGCATTTGGCCATTTCTCTTCCAGGCACAACAGGTTTTTATCTGTCTTCTGTGAGTGCAGAGTTTGTAGCTCCTCTACTAGAGGCTTAATGCTACTGTTCTTAGAGAAGGATTGTGCTCGTCTTGCAAGAGTGGCCCTCCCCTCCTCAGACCTACACCTCCGTTTCTTGCCCTCCCCTCAGTCTTTCTTGTGAATATCCAATGGAGACTCAGTTCACACCTGAGTAGGTTCCACACTAGGGTCACAAACAATTTTTAAAAGCTTTAACTGAATTATGTCACCTTCTTATACAAAGCCCCAACTTTTTCCCACACTCTGTCATCCTTCCTGTGCTGCCTGGATTTCCTTATACATCAGGCTACTTGGATGCCCTGGGATCTTAGTTCTCTGATGGAGTAATGACCTTGCACATTATTCAGTGGCTTCTTTTTGTCAGGGTAGATGTCATACTTCTGCTAGCTTTTTATGCTCTAGGTAGAGGCTGGAAGTCAAATTTCAGGATATTAGTTTCTAAAGGTATTCTCTGTGTTTTGAATTTTTCTATTCCTGTTGGGCCAGCTATTTTATTTGTTCACCTTGGTCTTTATGATGTTCATGTTTTCCTCAAATATCTGATGAGCCTTGGCTCTCCCTTCAAATCCATAAATTGATTAGAATGATTAGCATAGACAACTGGCATAGGTTTCTTTTGAAGCTGTAAGGTTTATTTACATAAAAAGCTTCATTCCTCAGTGGCAGCTCAATATAAAGTGAGCAGGTCCTGTTGACAAGCAGGCTTCCCTTCAGGATACATATGCTGGGAACAGGTAGTACCTTTATTTTAAAATACTATAACTGAGCAACACCACCAACAACAGGTGTTGGTGAGGATGCGGGGAAAAAGGAACCCTCTTACACTGTTGGTGGGAATGTAAACTAGTACAACCACTCTGGAAAAAAATTTGGAGGCTACTTAAAAAGCTAAACGTTGATCTACCATTTGATCCAGCAATACCACTCCTGGGGATATACCCAAAAGACTGTGACACAGGTTACTCCAGAGGCACCTGCACACCCATGTTTATTGCGGCCCTATTCACAATAGCCAAGTTATGGAAACAGCCAAGATGCCCCATCACTGACGAATGGATTAAGAAAATGTGGTATCTATACACAATGGAATTTTATGCAGCCATGAAGAAGAACGAAATGTTATCATTCGCTGGTAAATGGATGGAATTGGAGAACATCATTCTGAGTGAGGTTAGCCTGGCCCAAAAGACCAAAAATCGTATGTTCTCCCTCATATGTGGACATTAGATCAAGGGCAAACACAACAATGGGATTGGACTTTGAGCACATGATAAAAGCGAGAGCACACAAGGGAGGGGTGAGGATAGGTAAGACACCGAAAAAATTAGCTAGCATTTGTTGCCCTTAACACAGAGAAACTAAAGCAGATATCTTAAAAGCAACTGAGGCCAATAGGAAAAGGGGACCAGGAACTAGAGAAAAGGTTAGATCAAAAGGAATTAACCTAGAAGGTAACACCCACGCACAGGAAATCAATGTGAGTCAATACCCTGTATAGCTATCCTTATCTCAACCAGCAAAAGCCCTTGTTCCTTCCTGTTATTGCTTACACTCTCTCTACAACAAAATTAGAAATAAGGGCAAAATAGTTTCTGCTGGGTATTGAGGGGGTGTGGGGGAGAGGGAGGGGCGGAGTGGGTGGTAAGGGAGGGGGTGGGGGCAGGGGGGAGAAATGACCCAAGCCTTGTATGCACATATGAATAATAAAAGAAAAAAAATAAAATACTATAACTGTCAAAGAGAATGCTACTTTGGGATTGTATTGTTTTAGGGAATTTTCCTCTGGGTTGGTTATAAAAGTCCACAGTCATTTTAGGCTCTGCTGTCACCCTTGTACCATGCCAAATGCTTACACCATGGGACCTAACAAGATCAAGAATCAATTAGGTTTAAAAGTAGCAAAGGCAAATATTATAGGACGTTAATCCAGATATATGGAAGAAAAAGAATGGGTCACAAGGCCCACCTACCCTCATTATTGCCTTAGTTAGTTCCTGGTCTTTACACTGGGAAATTCCAAGCTTGAAGTTTCTGAGGGTTCTCTGCCA